AGTGACCCTATGAGGAATCCTAATGAGCCCAGCTACTCAGAAGCTGAAGCAGGACAGTGAGTTCAAGACTAGCCTGAGCTATATAGAGAAACCCTGTTTCAAAAAGCAAAAATAAGCAAATTTTTAAAAAGGAAGAAAACAACGGGCTAGAAGAGCTCTCCTGAACACCCTGTGGCTCACCCTCTGACAGATTTTGGCTATCAGTTGTATGCCCCGCCCCCCCTTCACAGCAGCCACATATCAGGCATTTCCATTGTGGTGGAATCTTTCTCAGTACCCACAATGCACAGGGTGTCATCTGTTTCCATGGTGGTCCCTTGGGGGCAGACTTGGACTGGTTCAATTTTGGATCCTTTGTAACAGCCAGCCCTCGACCCACCCACCACTCCTGAGGAGAACAGCAGTGCCCTCTGTCCACAGTGGTGACTTACATGGGCTGGAACCTCCAAAGTCCCTCCCACCCAAGCCTTTCCAGCACCCACACTGTTCTCCTCAGCACACAACATTACTGACCTCTGAGCATGACAATAAAGGCAACAGAGACCCACCCAGTCCCAGCCCCAAACTGAGGAGGAGGGAAAGGTCGAAGTCTGAAATCCCCAACCCTCCCAGGAAAAGTGCAAGGACAATCCTGAGTCTTCTGACAGCGCACCCTGACCCTGGAGACCTGGGGTCTCTAGACTCTCACCCAGAGAGCACACTGAAGACTTTTTCAGGTATGACTAACCCTGCCCTTCATGAGTAGCCTTGAGGGAGGTAGCTACTATGAAAGCTGAGGCCAGGCTGCACACAGGCAGCTCTCTGAAGGCTGCCAGCACTGTGTCCACTCTGCCCCTGTATTCTGCAAAGTTCAGGTCCAGGCATGTGAAGGAAAAGTAAGGCAAAGGGTTGAGACCACGCTTGAGCTGGAATTCCCAAGGAAGAGGCCTGGAGAAGGCAGGTGAAGGCGACCATCAGAGGCTGCCTCAGTACAAAGGACAGTTTAGGGACAGAGGCCTCACACACTGGCAGACAGGAGCAATGAGCGGGTCTTCGCCACAGGGCTGGCCCCCCTGCCCACCTGGGCTCTCTGCCCAGAGGCAGTCTTGGCCTCAGCACCTAACACAGTTGGACTGCTCTTCCCACTGCTGGAGAAAGCATCTAAACAAGGCCACTGGGCCATGTTCGAGTGCTTAATGACCCTGGAGACTCTGGCCAGGCTCCAGAACCCCCAAAAGCCATTTGCATAACTGCTGAGTGCTAAGCAAAAGCAGCTGACATACAGCTCTCAGCTCAGCTCTGACAGTTGTGACCTCCGCTGAGCATGGGCCAGAGGGAAGGGGACAAATTGGACAAGTCCCTGAAACACCTGGGATGATACACGCAGAGACCAGACCTCACCCAGCCAAGCGCAATCAAACTCCTGGGCACATCCATATGGCCCTAGGCTCCCGGACACTGACACCCAGTCAGGTTGGGGTGAAGCAGCTTGGTATTCCTTTACACTTGTAAGTTGTTAGCCCTCCTATCAACGCAGAGGCAGGTAGGTATCCTCTACTCTCCTTTCCTGAAAGGCGAAGCAGGCAAAACACTTACATGCAAAAAAGAAAAAATGTTTTTTTAAAAAGGAAAGGAACTATGTCTATAAACCTTCAATACTTTCTGCTTGATATTAGGACTTGATATTAAGGGTGTCAGCGCTGACTATGACACAAGCATCAAGTGAAGAAAACTGATTGGGTCAGGGGCTGTCTTCAGAAAGAAAAACAAATAATTCACGGGTCTGGATTCCATCTGGGGCTAGGATAGAGTTTAAAAGGGACTGGGACCATCCCTCAGGTGGTAGAATGCTTGCCGAGTGTGCGCACAAATAACGAGGCAGAGTAGCCCAAACTTACAATCCCAACAGAGGCAGAGGCAGGATCAGGAACTCAAGGCCAAGTGAAGCCTGAAGCCAAAAGGTGGCTCTAGGAATTCAGGGTTCATTCTCCCAAGGTCTAAAGACTGGGAAAGTCTGGAGGAAACTGCATCTGAAATGGTTTTCAAAGCCATGGCAACCCTGCGGAGTCTTCAGTACACTGTCTCAGCACTTTCCCTCTTACTTAGCAGATAGTAATTATCCATCATCTGGGAGTGCTTTAATGCCAACCTCTTCTCATTCTGCAGACACAGAGTGTCACTCTACTCACTATTACATGCCCAATGGCTGGCATCGAAATGCCTGCAATAAAAACAGAAGAGGGCAGGCACTGGCAGAGAAACACTGGCAGCACAAGGCCAGAGTGAGGCTTCACCCACACTGTGGGACTCCCCGAATGTCAACTTGAGGTGTATGGACCTTTGACATACATGTGTCCAGGCAACCATTTGCTTAGAACAGAGGATAGGCATGGGCCTGGGATCATTCTATTAAATCCTGAGCACCCACTGTATACCAGGCCTCCTGCCAACTCTCAGGTTGGTGGGAGATGACAATAATTTCAGAGTTTATGAAGACACAAAGTATCAGGGAAGACCTGGAGGGAGAAAGTACCAGACAAAGGCATAGCCAGAGCAGCTGAGGAGCAGGTGGGAAAACATGAGGCTGGAAGAATAACGTAGTATGGTCACCTAACACCTTATATAGTATTTATTTATTTATTTATTTATTTATTTATTTATTTATTTTGAGAGAGGATCTCACTATGTAGCCCTGGCTGGCCTTGAACTCAAAGCTCATAGGTAAGGGAATATACCTTTAATCCCAGTATTTGGGAGGAAGAAGATCTCTGAGTTTGCAGCACATAGTGAGACTATTTCAAACAAACAAAAAACTAAACACACACACACACACACACACACACACACACACACACACAATGGTTATCTTTCAAACCACGAAGACAAGTTCAATGCTGTAGTAGCAGTGAAAGGATCCAGCCTCCTTCCTGGAGAAGCAGAGGCCTGTAAACCCTTCAAGAGGCAGCAGTGGTTACCTGCATAGCCTCCTTTCCCCAAAGACTCAACATCAACCTGCCAACTGGTGAACTAGACTTGGATTCTTTTGCTTTCAGGCACTAGACTTGGAGGAAACAAAAATCATGACAAGAATCTCCTGCCTAACAGTGCTGGGAGATGGAGGCTTTTGTCCAAGGGACACCAAGTGCTAACCAACAGACACAGTCCTCAAGAGAGATGTCAGTCAATTATGATGCTGGGAAGGGGGGGGGGTCTAGAGTGGGAGGAAAAGGCTGTGCCATGTAGACTGGGTCTTCTAACTGGATGTATGGCCCTGGGTGGATTAGTTCCTCCTTTACCCTTCAGATTCCCTAGACTTACAAGGAAGAAGCTGGCCTACTCATCCTAAAATTCTGGATGACCCAAGTCTCCCTGTAGCTTTGTATTCCCAGGAGTCCTCCAACCCATTCCTGCCCTGGGCACATGCTGTGTGAATACCACAATAAACGAGGGCGGACCATTCAATTTACAAGACTAGGAACTAGGGCCTGGAGGGACTGGCTGGCAGCTCAGACACAAGGAGCCAGTTAGTGCCGGGAAGCCATGGTGAAGCCCACAATCCTAATTAGTTTTAACAATAAAAACCGGGAGTCAGATATCGAGGGTGAAAGGTGAAAAGATCAGAGCAGCAGCCACCTCTGTCCAGACTGGGAGACCAAATGGGGCGAGATCCTGTCTCCATCCACCTAGTGCTGGGATTAAAGGCGTGCACCACCACCACCCGGCTCTGCCCACCCATCTAGTGCAGGGATTAACGGTCTGTCTGTTTCTATTTTAGGCTGGTTCAATCTCGTGTAGCCCAGGGTGGCCTTGAACTCCTGATCTTCCTGCTCCCTCCCTCTCCCAAGTGCTGGGATTAAAGGTGTGCGCCACCACTGCCAGGCCTCTGTGGTTAACTAGTGGCTAGCTCTGCCCTCTGAGCTCCAGGCAAGCTTCATTTGTCAGAACACAAAATAACACACAACACCATGGCGCAGACTTAGGGCTGCTGCCTACAGGTAACAGGGAGAGGAAGTGAGTGGTCCTCAACGTGGCTAGAGGCGGAAGAAAGGAAGGCTTTTAACAGAGGGCTCCCCACGGGTACTACAGCTTCGTGACCGTAACCCGTTCTCAGTTTACTGTCTGGTAAAACGTGGACAATAACAGAACCCGACTTACAAAGGTCGCTACGTGAAGTTTAAAGAGTGCCTGGTATACAGGAGGAGCTCAATAAATGCTCCTGCCAGTGGCATTTCACCACGCAGCACAGCCCACGCGGTAATTTTTCGGGATAGTCCTGGGCAGGACACAAACACGTGGGGCGTGCTAGGGGCGACGGCGACTGATTCCTAACAGTCCCCGATTTCCAGCCAGGATAGAACGTGCTCCGCACTCGCGGGCCCCACGTGAGGCCCCAGAGGCCAGGGTTTGGGTTTCACGGTGACCTTGGACCAGCCTCGTTCCTCACGGAGCCTCTACTTTCTCATCTGGAAACGGCCGCGTGAGGCCCACGATGGGCCCACGGCCGCCCTGCGGAAACTACCCCACCGCGTGTCTCTGGCAGGCCCGCGCCCGACCGGTCTCCATGGCAGCGCCCGACCCCACCTTCTTGCCGGCAGTAGGACATGGTTGCTCCCGACGCTCGCAGCTCTCGAAGACAGCCGGGGCGGCCGGAGCGGATACACACCTTCACGCCGTGACCTCCCTTCTCTCCTCAAGCCTGGCGGGAGGCAGTGAGGCCCGCGCGGACCCGCCCCCTCCAGGCCTGCCCGCCGCGCGCCTGCCTCCAAGTCTACTAAGCACCAGCGCCGCTCCTCAGCCGAAAACTACGATGCCCAGCAGCCCCTGCGCCCCCTCCATCGAGGCAGGTACTACAATTCCCAGAAATCTTGCAGCACGCACGCGCACCAGTGAAGTAATGGGCGTGTTACCATTTTGTGGCGAAAGTGTCCGACAGAGGACTACATTTCCCAGCAGGCCTCGAGATGCGCACGCGCAGACAACTTGCGAGGCGCAGGCAACTACCCGCGGGGCGGTAACTCTTGTCCTGAGTCCCGCCAGGTCCCGGATTCCACGCGGAGTCTTGCAGCTAGCTCTGTGGCAGACAGGAGGTCACCGAATTCTGCATTCCGGTCGTCAGCCCAATTCCTAGCAGAGCAGTGCGAGACCGCGGAGGCGAGCTGGGCCCACCATGGCCGCGAACGTGAGTACCACCTCCTGGTCTCCCGGCCACACCATCATCCGGGCCGCTCCCCCGGTTGACGCTGGGTCCTTCGTCGATGCCACCCCAGTGGGTGCGGCGGCCCTGACCTCCCCGTTTTCGTCCATCTGTCCAGTCACCATCAGGCCTCGCGTTTGTCGGACGCTCCCCTCAGTCGAGTCCGCTCGTGCGTGGCCGCTCCTTCCAGTCCTAGTTTCTGTCTGGGCCCCTGGGGGTATGAAACTCCGGGACAAGAAGGATCGCGGGCAAAGTGTCCCTCGGTGGGCAGATTGGCGAGGCGATCCCACCCAGGTGGAGCTGTCCAGCAAAGGCTGCTCTGGCCTCCGCGCCCTAGGGGGTGTGTACTCCTAGGCTGTGATGATGCTCCTGTGGCCGGAGGAGCCTGGCTGGTTGACCAGGATAGAGAGGCTTTTCTCTACCGCCTGGTCCCTTGGTGCTCTTATTTGATAAAAAAGACCCCTGCTGAGAATAGTCTCCCCGCACCCCCTCCCCCCCCCCGGGTCTCTGGCTTCTTCCTACTGCAACTAGTCCTTAAGAACTTTACTAGTGAATCCTAACATTCATTCAACAGGCGGAGCAGCACCACTTACTAGGGGGACTGGGTGTGGGAGAAGCTGGTGACTCACCACTGCCTCTGGCGAAAGTGCCTCTGAAGCCAGCTCAGGAACACTGCCAACCCTAGGCACATCCCCTCTCCCTACTTGGTAGAGTGTCATCGCCACCCTCCTCTGGCCTGTTACACCCTCTTCCCTGGCCTCTCCTCTGTCCGGCAAACCTCTTCTTGGCCTCCTGCATCTCCCGAAAGGCCAGAGTGTGTGTCACCCACTGCCCAAGCAATGGCTGTTTGGCCCATTGACAGGCCCTGGATGGGGAGGAGAGCCAGAGGTCAGGAAAGCTGCACTGGAGCCAGAGGAGAAGGCAGCCTGTAGACCAGCCTAACAGGGGCAGGTGGACTCCTGCTGGCACCTGTCATCATCATCATCATCATCATCATGATGTTCTACAGTTCCCCAGCGGGAGACACCTGCCCGGGGGCTCTAAGCCAGCTTATGCTACAGCACCAGCCTGGGAAGGTGATGAGGATAGGCTTTGGAGTCAAGCCTAGAGGCAAATCCAAACTCTTCCACTCTAACTTCTCTGGGTTCACTCTCTCATGGGATCAGTTACTTTGAAATTTGAGGAAGATTGCTAGGCACAGAGCCTGGCACATGGGAGGTACTTAACCCATGAAAAAGGCACTCTTACAGGCTAGGACACACAGTCCTGGTAGGCAGAGACCATCTTGGGTGTGTTGGGATCTGACTCTCACACCAGTAAATATAGACACAATGGGATATGTTCAGTAGTAGCCATGCCTTTGTCCATCTTTGTTACGTTGCTTTCCTGGGAAGACTTGAACAAACACCCATTCAATCAGACAGGATAACTGTGAACCAAAAGAACAATTCCACCAACTCCATCTTGGTGAACCAAGGGGGTTATTGGGCGTACTTGCAGGAGCATAGGTAACCCCCAAACAGCTACATCACCAAAGTCCCACATCAACATGGGTGACCACCCCTGGAAAGCTGCATAGATAGTGTCGTCCCCTTGGCTCCCAACCCCGCTTCAGTTAGCCTTCTGCCTCCTGTGTACTCTAGCAGTACTCCATATTGCTGGGGGTGAGACAGGAGGAGGTGAGTGGCTGGAATCTCAGCTGAGGGTATAAAGACCCTCTTCCACTCTTCCAGGGAACATGCCTGATCATGTGAGGGGCTCATGTGGGTAATCAAAGCTGTTCTTATTTCAAGATGGCAGTGGCTGTGTCGTGCCTGGGGGACAGAGTACCAGAGCACCCATACTGTAGCTCAGCCATCAGGCAGGGTAAGCAAGAAATCTTAAGACAGTGGGTGGAGCAGAGGCACCTGAATTCAGCATAATGGCTATCTTGTCAGGTAGGTATTACCAGCAAGTGAGGAACCAGGACCAGAGAGGTAGAGCATGTTACCAGGCTCACACAGCAACAGAGCTGGAATTCCAACCCTGGTGTGCCAATTTCCAGGCCCAGTGTATTTTCACCTATTGCTTCATTGCTTGTTGACTCTGAGCCCAGTGTGCTAGAAGTGGAATATGTTACGGAGGATACATAAGTGTAATTATACACATGCATATACTTACACCCATATAGGTCTATCTTCCATCTCAACCCTCCCCCAGCTGGAGGAACACCCTCCTGGCCTCTCTTCCTTTTCTCCTGGGCTTAGGAAGAGCAGGAGGAACACAGGTCTCCTTTTTCTGCTTCCAATTGTTCAGTTCACATTACAGCTAAGCTCATATTACAGTTAAGTGATGAGGAAGACAGTCTAGGGCAGAGGGATCTGCCTGGGTTTGAACACCCACTCATTACTTACAAGGAATTGATCTGGGCCAATATCCTAGGTAGTGAGTCTCAGTTTCCTCATCTGTGAAATGGGGCAGTGGTAGCCTCTTCCGCCTTGAGCTGGCTCATGGCTGGCCTGGCTGATGGTCGCCTTCTTGTCTGCAGTGATTGTCTCCACTGAGTTTCTGATGGAATCATTCTGGGTTCAGTGGGTGTCCTCAGCAGGCCTGAGCCAGCAGCTCAGGAGAGCAGCCAGAAGTGCATCAGCTGTCCTCACAGACTCCAACTCCAAACCATCCTCTGGCTCTTTGAGGTGCCTGCCTGGTGACCACTTCGTATCACTGTGACTTTCATCCACACCCACAGTCTGGGTGGCAGCCCCAGTTTCAGTTATGGAGAAATCTGATAATGTTCTATTTGCTGTAACTCCCACAGGTGCCTGTGAGGCCCAGGCACTGAGCCACCACCCCAAGCATTGAATGTCCACCTCCACTTTACCCGTGAAGAAATGGAGGGCCCACAGCTAGTGGGTGGCAGAGCCAGGATCCAGGCTCAGTCTCTGCTTTTGGTGATAAGCACTAGACATACTTCTGACAACAGCAAGCTGGGCAAAGCCTGCTCCACTGTCCTGTGGCTTGTGGCCTACTGGATGTTGCCCGGGCATGCCCATCTGCTCTGTCTCTCTGCCAGCCCTCCACAGCCAGAGCAGACAGCATGCCACTCCACACCAGTGCTCCACAGTCCCCGGCTGAGGGAACCCTTGTCCTGAGGTCTGCCTCTATGTCCCCTCCTCCAAGTAGCCTGTCTTGATGCCCTAGCTGGAAGGTGCACCCAGCACTGTGCCCACCTCTCACTGGAAACTCAGCACAGCCTCCTGGTGGTTCTTAGAACTGTGACCTCACTGCCCCAAAGGCCACCTACCACTCCTCCAACCTCACAGAACAGCACAGTCCTCAGGAAACCCAGACATTACTTCTCACATTTAATTGAAAGTACATTTCTAGCTGCTCTGTAAAATACCTTGTTGGTGTCTTTAACATATGCTCAAACATTTGCTTAACATATGCTGGACTTATGGCCCAGAAATTCTTTGCCAAAGTAGAACTGTCCCCCAGTGTCTGGGGAATAGGGGTTCTTCTGAGAAGAAGAGCAAATTATTTTGGACACCAAAATTATTTCTCAAAACTCATCAAACTATCAATTTCCTCCTCAGTATTCCAGTATCGGCAGTAGGAAAGAACATGTCAAAGTGACATCTGACCCCCAGCCAGGCTTCCTGGAGCGGCTGAGTGAGACTTCCGGTGGGATGTTCGTGGGGCTCATGACCTTCTTACTCTCGTTCTACTTAATTTTCACCAATGAGGTAAGGTGCAGAGCCCAGTGGCTGGACTCTGAAACAGAAGGCCTAGGTTTTACAGGAGGGAAAGGTGCTGAATTCAGAATTCTTCCTACTGTGACACACCTCAGTGTAAGCCAGCAGGCAGTGAGTCAGTTCACACGCCTGAAAACCTGCTTCAGGCATGGTTGTGTTCGGGCACTCATGCTGGATTACTGGAATTCTGCCTCTTTGTTGAGACATTTTTTGGGGGCAGCCCCTTCCCTTGGGGCAATTTCAGTCTCAAATCCGAGCAGCTTAGACTCTGAGAGAATAGAGGGACCAGGCCTTTTTAAGTCAGTTTAGCAGAAGTTACAGCTTTCTCTCAGGTTCTTGGCTTAGGTCTCAGTTCTTTGAACCAGGACCAGACTCAGCCCCACCTGACTACATGGCCTGTGAGGGGGAGGGAGTATTCAGGAGATGCTGGAAAAGGTCCCCTGCCACCCTGGGTTCTCCCAGAGGCTCCGGGCACCTTTGGGTGAGACAGCTGAAGTGTCAGCTAAGCTGAGAGCACACCTGGCTGGCCAGTCCTGGATCGTATGACGTGGACAGTAGTTCAGGTTGGCCTTTGGAAGCCACATGGATTGGGAGCTGGGAGAGTAGAAGGCAGAGGCAAGTGGAGGCACAGGACCAGTACAGGGCAGGGAGACACAGAGCTGTTCCCAGCTTCGGGCACTCTGAGATTGGCAGGGTCTGCCTGGGATTGGCTCAGGTCTGCAGGAATCCTGGGTTCCAGGCTTGACTCTGCAGTCGCCAGACCTCACCCTCTCTGCTGGCTGAGGCCCCTCCCTCTCTGCCCACAGCAAGGCGTCAAGCAGCGCCTGAGCTGTTGAAATCCCTCCTTCTACCCTCTGACAGGGCCGCGCACTGAAGACAGCCACCTCTCTCGCAGAGGGGCTGTCACTTGTGGTGTCCCCAGACAGCATCCACAGTGTAGCTCCGGAGAATGAAGGGAGGCTGGTGCACATCATCGGGGCCCTGCGGACTTCCAAGGTAGGCTGGGTGATGGACTTGGGCCGCAGAGAGAGACCCACACAGGTGTGATTGTGTGATTGTGTGATTGTACCCTCTGTGGCTGTGTGGTCAAGTCGCTGCCCAGTCACAGTGTCCCCTGTGCTAATGACAAGAGTCTCACAGTCATGTGGTGAGAGCATGTCAGATTATAGTTAGCACACAGTCTGATGATCGGAGCTTGGCTGTTGTCTGAGCTCAGGGTCATGGGCATTGTGTTGAGAGCTGAGTCTGGCAGCTCCATGCTAGTCTCCTTCACTGCCAGTCCTGCCCATCTTGATCTCTCTTGCAGTTGGGCTGCTCTGGGCTGGGGACCCTGGACTGCTATGAGTCTGGCCTTTATACTTTGGTTTGTTTGATTCTTTTTGAAGCTCTTGTCTGACCCAAACTATGGGGTCCATCTTCCAGCTGTGAAACTGCGGCGGCATGTGGAGATGTATCAGTGGGTGGAGACAGAAGAGTCCAGGTGAGGAGCCAGGCACTGAGGGATTGGAGGGCATGAGGGTCTCAGGTGTTAGGATAAAGGGCGGTGGCTTTCATGTAGATGACATGTGACCAAATTCAGAGCCTGGTGTCTGCCTATCAGAAAAGGGTCAAACCCCAGCATTAGTGCACGGCGGCCTTTTATTTGGAGGTGACAGTAATCTAGTGCAGAGTGGTCCAAAGCAGGAAGGGAGCTGCCCAGCTTACTTACCTGGACATTCCAGGCTGCACAGCCCAAGGCATGACAGGCTAGGCTCAAATGCTGTCACTAGGATTAATGTGGCCTGCCTGCATTGGCTCATCCTCTCACAGAGGGCACAGGTCACTTCCCAGTTAACTCACAGCTTATCCGAAGGTCCAGGGCAGGCTCTCAATGGCCAGAAAGGGTCACCTGGAGCCAGAATCTAACTCAGCCCCACCTGAACTACATGGCCCATAAGGGGTGGAAGTAATCAAGGAATACTAGAGCAGGTCACCTGCCATCCTGCGTTCTCCCAGAGGCTGCAGGTGGATATCTCTTTGAGCCCAAGGCTAGATGCCTTTGGGTGAACCAGCCAGAGTGGGTCAGCTAAGCTGAGAAAGCATGTCCCCCCCAGGCAGGCCTTCAGAGATAGTGCCTGTCCATAGTGGCTGGGGAGTGTCTGTTCCTGAGTCTACCAGGCTTCCACTCCCTGTGGGGAGCTGGGCCTTGAGGCTGCTTCGGACACTTGGAGAGCACATGGCCCTGGTGCCTGCGCTGACTCCTGCTGCCTGTGCTTTTTCTGCAGTGAGTACACGGAGGATGGACAGGTGAAGAAGGAGACCAAGTACTCCTACAGTGAGTCCCGGACCCTCCCGGCCTCTGCCAATCCCCAGGACATGTGACGTCCACCCTAGCCCAGGCCGGCAGTGGTGGGCAACACAGTGGGGTTGTGGGCAGGTGTGGAAGCACCAGGCAGAGTTCCTGGGTGCCAGTCCTCAGAGTCCTGCATGCCCACCATCCAGGGAGGCCTGAGCAGCCACCCGGTTCCCCAAGGGTCGTGGCTCCTAGTAAGAGGATGCTGAGACTATTCTTAACTGGTCTGAATTGCCCCTTCTTTCTCTTCATGCAGACACAGAGTGGAGGTCAGAAATTGTCAACAGCAAAAACTTTGACAGAGAGATTGGCCACAAAAACCCCAGGTGAGAGCTTGGCCTGGGCCCAAGTCCAGTCTTGCTCACCCTTGCAGGTCCAGCCTCAGTTTCTTATAACCTGAGTGGTAGGTTGAGTTAGCTCTGCCCTACAGGTTGGCAAACACTCGGGATGTATTGTTGACACCACACTCGTGTTGGTGTCAAGAGCACAGATCAAAAGACCTGGTCTTTGCTGACCCTCAAGTTAACACAGGCTTGGTGAAAGACTGAGAGGTCCCTCTGTGCAGCCAAGTGCCTTGTTCTTGTTAGCCAGGCATGGGGTGAGGACAGTGATGTAGCACTTGGGCACGGCTAGATCATATGAAGCCATGGTCCAGGTTGAGCCAGGAAGATGGTCAGTACTTGGAGACTGCCCAGGCTGGGAGTGGTATGTGGGCCAGAAAGCTTCCATTTCATGGCTGATTGTAGCAGGCTTTCTCAGACCACCAGCCCTCAAATCGTGACGCGGAGACTTAGTTATGACGGCTTGGCCTTATCTTAGGCTTGTCCCACCAGCTCTTCTAACTTAATTTAGCCTGTTTCTCTTCATCTACATTTTGCCTCGAGGCTTTTCACCTTTCTTTCTTTCTGTGACCTGCTTTCACTGCTTCCTCTGTGTCTGGCTGGCTGTCGGCCTCTCTTTCTCCCTTGTTCTCTTTTCTCTTCTGCCCCTCCCTCTTCTCCGTCTCTCTCCCTCCCTCCTTTTTTCTTTCCTAGATTCCTTCTCCTACTTATTTTCTGTGCTCACCAGCCCTGCCTATCCCTCTTCTGCTTAGCTATTGGTCATTCAGCTTTTTATTAGCCCAATCAGGGCTGCCTTAGGCAGTTAAGGTGAAACAGCAGCACATCTTTACACAATTAAACAATGCAGCATAAATGTAACACACCTTTACATCGCTAAAGTAATAGTCTGCAACATAAACAAATGTAACACATCTCTACCTGTTAAAGTAATATTCCACAACAGCTAATGGGATGGGACAGGCTGGGTAAGAGAGTATGAAGCTCTGGGTGACAGAATGGGCGGTGCTCAGCCAGAGAGGGGAACAGGAGCCCTGGGCGTCATACTAGGCCTCTTTGCAGGACCCATTTCCTGGGTAGGGACTGTCCCCAGCACATTACAACCCAAAGGTGACCAGACAGCTCCCACCCTGGTGCCTCATTGTTGACTGTTCCTCCTCTCTCCTACAGTGCCATGGCAGTGGAGTCTTTCACAGCAACGGCCCCCTTTGTCCAAATTGGCAGGTTTTTCCTCTCAGCAGGTGAGTCTTCGGCCTTCTGTGGAGGTGCCCATCCAAAGGCCTTTCCATCCCCTTGAGCTCCTCCAGGCCTAGGACCCCAGTACCAAGCAGGCCCACAGCCTGTGGTGGTCGGTATCAGGGTCAGGTGGCCCCCATCTCAGAATCATACTCTGGACTAGGGTCAGAGGGAGGTGAGTCCTTAAGGGGTAGAACCCCCACTCTAGGCAGTTCCTCTGAAGCCTGGATTGGTCTAGAAATTACCTCAGGTGCTACACCCTTGTCACATTTCTGTGCATGTCTGTTCTGAGCAGACATTGCACCAGAGATCTGCCTCAGGCAGCCCTCAGCCAAGGGTGTACACAAGGCCCTCCCTCCCTCCCTCTGACCTCTGGTTCCCCCTGTGAGCCCTACCTGGCATCTAGCTCTCCCACAAGGAGATACACCACAGCCTCCTCTATGACTGTAAGAAGGAACCCTCAAGGTTAAAGGCGGCACCATGAGTCATAGGAATGCTTGGGTTCCATCTCTGGGTCTAACCTGGGAAGGCGACCGAGGAGACGCTTGAGACCCCAGTAGCCAGGCTTAGCCGGAGCTGTCCCAGCAGCTCTGCCACTCAACTAGTGCCTGTGGGGGGGGGAGGCTAGATGGGGATGAGTGTACGCTGAGGAGGGAGGGCAGAAAGCAAGGCCACTCTCAGAACTGTGGCCAGGCTGGCTTAGCAGGACAGGGCAGGGGAAAGCCTTCCTGGAAGAGTTAGGGATTGAGTTGGGCACAGGGAAGTTCTGGAGATGGAGTTGGAAAGGGGGGCATTGGAGCCTGTGTGGTGGCACATGCCCAGCATCACAGCACTCAGGGAGCTGAGGCAGGAGTATCACAAGTTTGAGGCTAACTTGAGCTGTTTAATGAAACCCTGTCATGGAACAAAAAAAAAAAAAATCCAGTACTTGAGGAGTAAAGGCAAGACGATCAAAAGGTCAAGGTCACCTTCAGCTCTTAGTGAGTTTGAGGCCACCATGGGCTATATGAGACCCACTACCTAAAAAATAAGTCCACAGCATTTGGAAGATAGGCAAAAGCCAGAGGGTATAGGCTGGTTAGTAGTACCTGGTCCTGCTGTCTGAGGGCATCAAGAACAGTGTCAGGGTTAGGGTTAGCCGAGCAGGGTTTCTCACCGGAGCCATGGTTTCTGAGCATTTTGCTTCCCTCAGGCCTCATTGACAAGATTGACAACTTCAAGCCCCTGAGCCTGTCCAAGCTAGAAGACCCCCACGTGGACATCATTCGCCGAGGAGACTTTTTCTACCACAGTGAAAACCCTAAGTATCCGGAGGTACATGGACACCAGGGCGGCTCAGATAGCAGAGGCCAGGGCGTTTGAGTAGCTCTGAGGGGAGCGTTGAACAGCTGAACCCAGGCTACACCGGGCCAGTGAGACTAGAGATGGGCAGGCCTCCTAGGGAACGGACAGTCTCGGTGCAAGAGTAAAAACAGCCAGGTGCTGGATCACCTCACTAATCTCTCCCGCTTCTCTTCCCCCCTCAGGTTGGTGATGTTCGAGTCTCCTTTTCTTACGCGGGACTGAGCAGTGATGACCCTGACCTGGGCCCAGCTCATGTGGTAACCTGCTTCCTAGTCTTGATTCCCTGGGCCCGAACACCTCGGGAATGTCCTGACCGCTTTGTGCCTCATGTGCACAAGCAGCAGGCACTTTCAGAGGTCTGTGTCCTCCATAGTGGCTCTTGGACCTCAAGTCCTAGTGGTGCTCATCCAATCATGGCAACCCTTCACCAGCCACAGTACCTGGTCTTGGTTCTTTATAGTACACAGTCAGAACGCCACCCAGAGCCTGACCTAGGAGGCAGACAGAAGACTCTTAGGGCTCAATCAGCCATGGTGGAGAAAGTACAGATGATCCAGGCCTGGGCTGGTTGCTTGGTGTGCATATCCATTGTCATTCATCTGGTGCCCACTGTGACCACCAGTCCTAACCATAAGTAGCTCTCAGTCCAGAAGGACAGCAGAGCCTGTCCCTGCTGGAGACCCGCTTTGGCAGGGATTCAGATCCCAAAGAGGATGTGTAGAGGCTGGGGGTAGGTGACAGACATGATCTGAGGGTGAATCAGGATGGCTGCCAGCAGCATTTATTGAAAAAAAGGAATACCCCTTTTATACTCTATAGATGCACATATATGGAAGAAAATGGGCATGAGAGCTGGGGTGTGACTTGAAATGAGGAGCTGAGGAATCTAGCATTGATCTTGACAATAGGCACCAGCTTTACGTTAATGGAAGGGCCACAAGTTCCTCTTGCCAGAGATAAGAAGAGTAACTTCCTTTTAGCAAGCGGGAACTTTCTTCAAGCTCCTGAAGGAATGGGGACCCTTATACCAAATGCCTGACCTTGGGAAAAGGCCTTCTGGGACCAGACCCTCCACTACAATTTAGAGCATTTTTCATTCCTCAAGAGGATAAGCCTTGAGCTCTTCCCTAATTGTGTTCCTTTGTGTCTTAGTCTTACTCTGTGGGCCTGTTCCTCTCATAGCTCCCCAAAGGGAAGGTCCTGATTCTTACTCGTGTCCCATTTCTCCATACCATTCTGATTTCTCTACACTTATTGACTGAACTCTTGAGCTTAATGGCCCAAGGCTCTGGATCTGAACTGTAGGTATTTCATTCTTGGGATCAGGTATGTCGAGTAGATCTCTAACTTTCCTGTTCTTGGTATAATTAGGAGTGCACAGTGGAATTCCTGGTTCTGCAGATTTTTTTTTCCAAAGAATTATTTTGTTTAGAGAGGCTACCATTATATATATTTTCACCCTTTACCAAAGCCCACACAAAATTTCCCAAAGGGAAAGGCATTAATGGGGAGAATCATTAAAATTAAAAGTAAAAAGGTGCTGGAGAAGTGTGGTCTGCAGTGTTGAAATGCTGGAACTTTGTCAAGCAACAATGGCCGCCTTGTGGTCCACACCATTTCCCTGTGTCTGTCTGCCCCAACCTCTGCTCCGCCCCAGCACAGTCTTAATCCTAAGTGCCTCCCTGGAACTTGGACTGAAGCAGCTTGGCAGGAAGTACCAGGGACTGTACCCTATAGAAACAAGGAGAGAAGCCGCAGGTCTCACCTGGCTTGCGTGGAGTCTGAGGGGTGGGCTGTGGGTCTCACCCTGTGCCTCTGTCCCTCAGAGCACCCTACGCAGCTCTAATACATGTTATGAATCATTGCATGGTCGGGGGGACCCCCGAGGGTATCCCTTGCATGCCGAGAAACCTGCTGGGCAAATGCATGACATGTGGCCATGGTGGCGGCAGCCAGTAATTCACAACCTAGATGTTGCATCCGTGTGGAGAGTTTATTATAATAGAGATGAAGAGGAAGATAGGAAAGAGAGACAGAAAAAGAGAGAAAAGAGAGGAATAGGTCGAGGGTGCGCACTTTGCGGGAGGAAAAATGGAAGAGAGAAAGGAGGGGGGGCGTTTTTCCTTAGAATGAGGCTTTTATGTCAGGACGCAGGGCAGCACCAAGGGGTGGGATTTTAAGGGGCGGATCAGAATATTAACAATATTGACTTTTCTGATCAGGTTACCGTGATTGCCCGGCAGCGGGGTGACCAGCTGATCCCATACTCCACCAAGTCTGGGGACACATTGCTGCTCCTGCACCATGGAGACTTCTCAGCTGAGGTGAGTTGCTGCTGCCCTGCCTGTGTGTTGGGGACAGGTACATCCTGCCCTTCTGCTCAGTGCTGTTTAAGAAGCCCCACCATTAGAGGTCCTGGCCAATGCAGTATGGCAAGAAAAGGAAATAGGACGACAGCCTCCTGTGTGACAGGGCACTGAGGACTGGCCCTGCCCTCTCAGGCTGTCAGTCTTGTGGGGAGGAGACTAGTGAGAGAGAGGCCAGCTAGTGAGGATCCAGCATGATGGATTTCTAATAGACCGTCAGTTTCTATGGCCAGGGCCTCTATGACAAGTCATTTTTGTGAGGCCCTCGAACAGGTCCACCCTAGAGTAATCAAGTCAGGCAGGAAAGGGTTCACTTTGCCAGTGGGTGCCAGGAGAAGAGGAGACAGTGTGACATCAAGGTTGCCATAAGGCAGAGGCCACTCTAGTGCCTTTTCTTCCTTCGGGGGCATCGGTGGAGGTTTTGGAGCTGCAGTATCAGGGCCATGTGAATGAGGCAGTCCCCCCGCTCCCCAGGTCCCACGGTCCACTGGGTGTGCCTTTCCCATCTGTATTCCCAGTGCTGAGAAGGAGGGATGCTGATTGCTCAGGTCTGCCCCTTTAGAATAGAGAAGTGTCGATTCTAGCTCTTGCTGGTGAACCCAGGGGCTCACTGCTGGAGCCTCCCTGTGTATCTTAAGCAGATTTGTGGATTTCAATCCAGAACAGCCAGAAAAGGCCAAGGGCACAGCTAGCTGGCCTCAGAGCATAGCTGTGCCCCTTCTGCTATGGGTCCTCAGCTGCCCTCTGTCCTCCCTTTCAGCCACAGTGGGTCATAGTGTTTGGGCCCCACCTGCTCCTTTTACCTGGCCAAGATAGGGTGTGGTTGGTCTGTTGTTGGGAGCTTGGTTTACAGGCTCAGGGTGGGGCTTCCACCTCCCAGCCTAGGCTATGAGTCATCCTAGGAACCGCTCTAAAATTAGGAAACCCTTTTCTCTCTCCCAGGGCTTTGCCCAGCCCCTGGTTTCCAGTCTTCTCAGGCAGTCTCAGGTCTCTGGAACTGTAGAGGGTAGTGGGTGGGATGTGTGGCTGAGGAGGCCCAGGAGGGAAGGTTTGGCTAGTGTAGGCAAGTAGGCAGACTCACAGAATTGAGAAGAAAGCTGGGCCCCAAAGTCAGGATGCTGGGACTCCAGCGTCTGGAAGTTCAGGGGCCCAGACCACAGCACTGCTCACAGGTCCCTGTCAGGCTCCTGCCTAGTTCTGGCTCTGCCTCTCACCAGCCACTTGAGCAAGTCTTATCCTCTCTGAGCCCATTTCCTCATCTGTGAAACGACACATTAAAAACCACCACCATCATCATCCCCATCTCATGTGGTAGCTGTTCATGCATCCGCACTTGCTCACTGAGCACAGGCATCTCAGAATGGCTGTCCAGTTAACGGCCTATGGTGAAGCCGTGGGGTTGTGTCACAACCTCTCAGAGCCTCAGCTTCCTGTCGTGGTAAAACAGAGAAGATTTCGATTAGGTTACTTGAAGTCAGGTCAGTGTGCTTGTAAACCACGGGGCAGTGACAGCTGAATACTGAGACACATGTCCATCTTTGTGTGTTGTGTTAGAGATTAGACAGACGTACTGTTCAGTCAGAGCCTGGGAAAGGCTCTCAAAAGAAACCACCTCTTAGCCAAGACTGGAAGAAGGTGCAGAGCTGCTGTGCAGCTGTGGGCAGACAGTCTGCACACGACAGTGCCCTTGACCTGGCCTCAGCACAGGTGGCCCAGGCCCAGGTGGAGGGTCAGAGGTGGTGGGGCCATGGCAGTTCTGTGTGAGATTGAAGGTGGGGTGAGGAAGCAGGGAGGCCAGCGAGGCAGGGGCTAATGTAAGAGCCCCATGAGGAACAGTGATGAGGTGGGTCATGGTAGCCAGTGGGGAAACAGCTGACAGGGCTTGTTCGTATGGTGAGGGCGGGCAGACCACACTGACCACAGGTTTTGGTTTGTGTAGGTGGGCGGGCAGTGGGGCTGTGTGCTGCCATGGAGAAGACAGAGACGCAGGCTGGGGTGGGGCTCTGAATCAATGCTCAGCATGCCAGGAGGCTGGGACGATGTGTAGGAGGCAGTGGGAGCCAGAGGCAGGGCAGCCCTAAAGCAGTGCTGGGCGTGTAGTGGTATGTTTGAGTACAGGCACATGGGACCATGGGGTGCATGGGTGTCCTGGGCAGAGTGGGTGAAGGAAGCAGCCAAAGAATATCAGCATTTACAGGCCAGGAAGAAAACCAGGGACAGCAATGGGGTCAGAAGGCACAGCCTACAGAGTAGGAGGGAGACAGTCAGGGCCAGGGGTCCTGAAGCTGCACGCAGTGACCTGGGTTGAGGGCTGATGCTTCACCCAGGATCAGCATGCACTTTCAAACTGTCTACTCACAGGGTGGGAGGTGCCCCCATATGGACAGCTGCAATGGGAAGGATAGTTACCCTCTTCCAAGGGAGACCATGTGCTAAGGCCATAGATCTCTTATTCCATGTTCTTGAGCCAGACAGGCAGAGACTTAGCCACAGGTGAGAGGTTTGCCCATCTCCCTGTGCTCTGTAAGGAAATGGCCAACAATCCGCACCCCCAGGACCCACACTGCTGGTTGGTGACTGGGTCCTGACACTGTGCCTCCTTGTCCTACAGGAGGTATTTCGTAGAGAACAGAAGAGCAATTCCATGAAGACGTGGGGCCTGCGGGCGGCTGGATGGATGGCCATGTTTATGGGCCTCAACCTCATGACACGGATCCTCTACACCCTGGGTAAGTGAGGAACATGCAGGAGACATCCTTCCTTCTTGAGGTCCTGTGTTCATCATACTGCACTGGTCAGCCTTCCAGCCTGATGGGATCCTTGAAAAAGACACCAAACATCTGGCCTGTCTCTATGTGCCGCCTCCCCAAGCCCCGCCTCTCCCAGGAGCTTTAAGACAAATGGCAGAGAAAGGCAGGTGTGAGGGACAGGATGTTCACACCTGCTGAGGGTTGGGAGGCTGGCCCAGTTTCCATGATTTGGCCAGCTCTGCTCATCCCTTCCTCCATATCTGGGCAGCTATGGGAGGCAGGTTGCCAGCCTGTGCTGTGAACTGGATTTGCACCTGAAATCCCTCAAGTCAGAGTCAGGGATACCCCTGCCTGGGCTTCCTTTTGCCCTTGCTCAGGAGTTTTCCTGTATGGAAACACCCTCCAAAGGCAGGCCAGATTTGTAGCAGCTAGCACATCTGGAGCCCTGGGAGGGGCCACTCACCTGCCCTAAGTCTGGCTTCAGAGAGCCCAAGTTTAAGTGTCCCATTTTGGTTCAGGACCTGGTGTGCCAGGCTGATATTGTCCATGCAGGATGAAAGCCTGCTCAGGGAGACTCAGTTCCCAGGCCTCTGCCCTAGTGTGTCCCCATCCAGCCTTCTTGTGGTGCCGGCAGAAACCCTTCCCCCACTTAGGTCTATGGACTGGGGAGAGGTGAGGCTGGAGTATATCCCAGATTGGCAGCAAGTGTTGGAGGTTGAGGGGGATTTCATTTACAGATGGCCCTAGACAACTGAGGTATACTCATAAATACCAGCCACACTGTGGGCATGACAGAGAACCATCAGAATTTAAACAGAACTATCTTGGCCATGTGACTGAGGACTGAGGACAGGGCAATCCCTCTGTGTCTCGGTCCCCATCATGTTTGAGAAGCCCTGTCTGGGATCCTAATTCTTCCATTGAAGGCATGCTGGCAGGTAGGGCAGATGCAGTGTGGAGGGATAATGGGAGCTCCGGCAGGCCTATGTGGTCCTCCCTGTCCATCAGTCAGGGTGACCTGCTGAACGCCAGGTGCTTCCTCTGCAGGCTTGGCACAGTGGCTCAGAGCTCAAGCTCTGACTGAGCAGTGTAGAACGTCCGCATTGGCTCTGTGGGAGGGAGGGTATTATGGTGTCTTTTCAGTGGCCTCAGCATGGACTTTGAAGGGCCAAGGCACCCACACTTGAGACTGGGCTGAGCAGGAATAAAGTTGTGGATACCAGCTTGCTGAGGTCCTCCTCCCCTGGGTATCCTAGGGAGTGTGAGGCTGTTTGGCCCCACCTTGTTGATCCTTTCCTCCACGGAATAGCTGAGAGGAGCAGTCTAGGGCAGGGAGCACTGTATCCTCAGGGACTCATGGCCTTTTCTTTTCCCACAGTGGACTGGTTTCCTGTCTTCCGAGACCTGGTCAACATTGGCCTGAAAGCCTTTGCCTTCTGTGTAGCCACCTCACTGACCCTGTTGACTGTGGCTGCTGGCTGGCTCTTCTACCGACCGCTGTGGGCTGCTCTAATTGGCTGCCTGGCTCTGGTGCCCATGATCATTGCACGGACCCGGGTGCCAGCCAAAAAGCTGGAATGAAGCCTCAGAGGCCAGGTCCCCTGTCGCCTCTGCCCAGCTCCAGCTGAGACAGGCACCTGCACACCCCACTCTTCAAGGGGCCAGTGTCTACACCTGCATGTAGAGCTTGGTATTCACCAGCTCACATCTCCACCCCACTTCTTGCCAAAATGCAGCTTCGGTGGCCAGAATGCAGCTCTGATGGGCAGAAGCAGCCTGAGGATGGCGACCCAGCGAGTACTGTCCTGCTTAATGCCTTCCCCTCTCAGGGCTTTATTCCACTTAGCTATCAGCTGACCTGCTGGTGAAGGACTCAGCCTTCTCACTGCTCATCCCTCATCACTGAAACCAAGTACCAGGACTGCCACAACCTCTGGCTACAACTGAAACCCCAGAAAGCAGCCATCATCTACTACTTCTGGCCACATCTCATCAGTAGGACACACCGTACCCAGACCTGGAGAAGAAGGTGTACCCCAAACCAGGTTTCTGGGTGGAACCTGATGTGGCCTAAAGAAACACTGAAGCTCTTATCCCAAAGGTCACTGTTACTGTGGCTGACAGCGTTTTGGTTCTGTTACTCCACTTCTCTTGTTCTTTCTATCCCAAGAAGGAGTTGAGACTTCAAAGCCCCATGAGTGGCTCCCACTGGACAGTTGTGTCACTGAGATTAACTCAGCAGGAATGCTGTTTCAGTGGGTGTGGCTTGACCCTGTTAGTTCCCGAGGCCTTGGGGAGGCTGTAGCTTTGCGATGCTTTTGAACATGCAGTGTTATCGGATTCTTTCATGCTGGGTTGGGACTGTGGAGCATCCCCTTTATCCTCTGCCATCACAGACCACCTGTTCACTTGAAGGTGATTTTGAGTTTGTAGTCAGTGTTACAGGAAAGGGCTGGAAGCTTCCTACTAAGAGGGCTCATTCATTGTGACCTCCACTCAACTGAAGCCAAGAACCAGAGAAGCAAGGCTTGCTGGAGGAGACCCACATCTGGTCTGGCCCAGACTTTTTCCCTGGGAAAAAGCCCTTGGCACTTCAGCCTCAAGTAGTTGCAGCACAGTAGTTCTTTCTGCATTTAATGCCCATCACTCTCCTGTCACCCACTAATGGACATGGTTTCTAAGTTTCCTCTCGACCATTACACCCTTGAAGGGATGCTTAGCCCCAGTGTCACAGATCCTTGGTTTATCCTGTACTCAATTCTATTTGCAAATTGCCCTAGTGGTTGCTGTAGCAACAACAGTGAATTTGGTAGGTAAGATTTCAGAACCCCTGACCCCAGTGATCTTTAACAGTCCCTTTCACATCCTGTGGTATCTGGGCTTTCAGCTGGGGTTCTTGGTAAAAGTGCAGCCAGAGATGGCTTGCTGGGTTTAGGATGGAAACAATAGTCACTACTGCTCTGCATGCTGGTACAATCTCTTCTAAACGCCAAAAGATGGTTTGGGAAAACATGGTACAATTAGTGATAGCTACATACGCAATCCTCGGGATTCAGTCTGCCTAACTTTTTTATACGAGTTTTACCTGCCAGCTTAAAAGTGTTCTCAAGAAAAAATTACGGAAAAATAATTTGATGTCTTTGAGAAACTGAGGTTTGTATTCTTTGTATTAAAATTCAAAATAAATTTCTATTATCTTTTGGTATAGGATCTTGCCAGTAGTCTGGTTGTTTTTTGGGGGGTGGGGGCGGGATTGTTGCATTTTTTTTTTTTTTTTTTTTTATTTTTTTTTTTTTTTTTTTTTAAAGAGAAATTAGCCATCAGACTCATTTCAAGCCTCCATGCTCTCTGTGGCTGTAAGTGGTTTCAATCTTTCCGAAAGGGCAGCTTGCTGTTCCTGGCCTTTGAGCCGACTTTGTCTCGGCTCTATTCAGAGTGAATGACTCATGCTTCACAAACCTTGAGAATGTGCTAGAAGTATGATGCAGCGCTGAGAGCACTGGTTTTGAGTGTCACACAGATCAAGTCTGTCTTATGAGCTCACGGTGTTGGGCCAATCGGTTGCATCTGTAAAATGGGGACAGAGCCTGTCACCACACATGGCTGTAATTAATAAACGAGCTGAACCCAAAGTGCCCACTGCACTGCACCTCTTCACTGTTTCCTTCCTGTCTGAGGCACTGCCATGCTGTCATCTAGCAGGCAAACTTTCCAAACCTAACATGTCATTCTCATAGCTGACACCTGCCAGAATAGGTTCCATCTCCAGAGACATGGCCATGCCTAACTAAAACCCCCCAAATGAAATTGTGTTTAGGAAGCCTGTCAGGCTCTGGTGCAGGAAGTGTGCGAATACGGTTTCCATGGTGACCCTAGTTTGTTTCTCTACCAGAGTGTCCAATATGAGTCATACCCCAAGTGTTTTGTTTGTTTGCCTTAGTAAGAGTGACTCAACATTTTAAAGACACAAAGACCAAGTAATATCGAATATAGTCACACACAAAAAGCTTCCTTGGTGTGTAAGGGGTTCCTAGTCTCCATGAAAACAATCCTGAGCTTCCCCCAAATCTCAGTGCACACAGAAGTCTCTGTTACCTGGACCCTCTTAGCTGGTTTAAGACCTGAAAGAAAACACATAGCCAAGTGCTTTTAGGTGAATGCTTTATTTTCTGTCAAGATTTTATAAAAGGGCTTTCTCCTGAGTAGCTGGCATATAGCAGCTAAGTAAACGTATCAGTACAGAGTAAATGTATCCAGAACTGAATAAAATAGTCTAATCTTTCACTAACATTTTCATAATTCTCAATTTGTTTACCCTTTCTAAATCTAGCTCTTTGTTCTAGTCTTCTGCCAACTGTAAAATCAACCCCCAAAGTGCCTTGACAAGAGATGGCCTGTGTCTCTGACAAAAGAGCACTGGGCAGTGTTGAAAACCTGACTCAGGCAGAGGAAGGCCTGAAAAGCGAATGCCCCAGGCCTGCAGGAGAGGAGAGCAAAGCATCCAGGTGGGAACAGCACTCAAGAAGGGTGTGTCCACATGCTCCAATACCCAGAATTTCCCAGGGATTTCTATTTAAAAACTAAAAGGAACAACCAGACAAGGCATGGTGGCATATGCCTGTAATACCAGCCCTCATTTTAAGGCAGGGGATTTTGAATTTGAAACCAGCTGGGGCAACATAGAAGACCTCTAAAAGAAACTCACATTTCCAAAGATGGGAATGCCAAAGTCCAGGAGTCAGAAGGTCTCTCCCAGGAAAGTGTCCCAACCCCTGGGGTGGGTTCTGGGTAGCTCCAGCACTACCCCATGGGTCAGAGCCAACTGCAGCACAACTTCCATGTGGCCGGTAGTGCCCAGACCACAGACAAGAACTGCAGCCTGGCCGGGTGGACACCTGGTGGACACTCGCTTCACAGCTTCTCAAACGGGAAGAGATGTGAAGCCTCTGCTGCCCGCCTCTTCCGGGTCATCTTAGGGTACTCGGGCTTCTGTTCTTCTTTAGCCTCTCGGTTTTGTGGCCAGGAAGCAGCCAGGACTCTGGCTGTTTCTGCTTGTGAGCTGGTCCCTTCCTCTTCATCAGAAGAGAGTCCGCCTCCTGCATTTGCATGGGGAGCTCCTGCCTCGCTCTGGGGGAGACAGTGGAGGAGCCAGAGTTAATGGCTAGCGGCAGAGGACTGACTTTAAAGGGCAGCGAAGTTCCCAGAAGACAAGGGTTCTGGGTGGTGCTGGGAGAGCCCAGGCTGCCTTACTGGCCCTCCCCAGGCGAGGAGCTCACTCAAGCAGGTACTTAAGTGAGAACTGCTGGTGGAAAGAGGGTGCCAAGGCAGGCAGCTGAGTCAAGTCCAGGGGCAAACAGCTACCGCTGTGCATGTCGCTTCACTGACACACATGCATGGTATTTTCAACTGCTTAGTGCTTAGGACCAACCTTCAGCACTGGAGTGGTACCCTGGAGGATCTGAGGTGAGGCTGGCAAGGTTAGCTGGGGGGAGGGGTCCTAGATGGAAAGGAAGACAGTGTATGGGTAGCCAGGAGCCAGTGAGAACAAGCCTGATGAAGGGGTCCCTGACAGGATTCAAGTGAACACATGGCTAAAGTGTCCTTAGCAAGTAGACAACGGGAAGAGAGACAGATCATAAGGGACAAGAACATTTAGAGCACGGTCTGATGACTCTGACTTCGTATCCATCATCACACAACTGATCTAGGTTCTGCCTGTACTGAGATGAAAACGCTCCCCCAACCCAGCACTGTAGACAGGGACCGCGGGTGTGAAGTGTGCAGGCCCAAAGCTGGGCACAGTCCTGGGAGTCCTGGAAGCCAAGAGGTGCAGACACAGAAGGCCCAACACACCTGACCTGCCTACATGAACTCTGCAGCAAACCAGACCCAGTGCAGGTGTCCAGGTTAGGAGGGACACAGGACAGGGCAGGAGCAGCTAGTGAGGCAACAGGCAGGCTTCCTAATAGAGAGCCACTCTACTGTGATGTCCCAGGATCTGGGCCAGTGACTGAGTGGTAACCAGGCTTGTTTTGCCCACAAAGGCCCCACGCTGACCTTGGGCCCATATCGGAGTTGCAGCCTCTCTCTGATGAGCAGTCCTCTGGCCAGCAGCTTCCAGTTCCCCAGCGCCCGCTTCTCCTTTTTCTGCAGGCAGAAATAGAGGGAGGAAAGGTGAAGCCATGGCATCACAGATGATGTTCTGACATCTGTCTATGCAGTTCAGGTTGGAAGAGTCTTCCTGCCTGGGGAGATGCCCACGGGTTAAAGCACTTGCTGCACAAGCCTAAGGACCAGAGTTTGGGTCCCTATCCACAAATGCTCTGTGTGTGTGGCAGGCCTGCCTGTAACAGAGCCTCAGAGGGTGCAGACAGGATCTGAGAGCAAGCTGGCTAGTTATCAGTGAGCTAACTTCCTCAACGAGTAAGGTGGTAGAATGGGGATTCCAGATATTAACCTTGGACCTCCACATGCATCAGTGCCTCTGCCCCACAAGCATGCATATACACATATGCATCACACACACACACACACACACACACACACACACACACACACACACGAAAAAGAAAACAGATAGGGTCTCCTATCACACCAAGTCTTGCTTCCAAACCACAAGTCAGATTTAGTAAGTGACATATATAAAAGCCGTTAGTAACCAAGTCTTTCAGAACCATCACTGACTGGAAGGCAGCAATCAGGTCTAGGACCTGGGCTTTCCAAGTCAGGGCCCAGTCCCTGAGCCTGCAGGTAGGCAGGTAGGCGACAGGACAGTGGACATGGAGTGTGGAAGGAAAGCTGTTTTACCCAGCACTCACCCCTAGGATGCCCTCCATCAAGTCAGAGCACCAGAAGGGCTAACACACGGACTTCCCCACAGTCTTCCATGATGCAGGAGGGGCCTGGGCAGAGACCCCAGCTGGAACTTGTTGCTCTTCTCCAAGGCCCCATTCACCCCACTCACCTCCTTCTCCTTCTGTTCAATGATGGCCTGTTCATTCTCCCAAGCAGTCAGCAGCACGTCTCTGAATTCCTCACAGACAATGTAGCCATCAGTTCTGTGGGGACAGTAACACAGATGAGCTCCCTGAGCTGGTCACCTACTCCACCCCTCCTCCTTCCTTGTTCAGAAGCCAGTGGCCTTTTCTGAGTACTTGGGGCCCTGATGGGCATTCCTGGCCAGCCAGTGGCAGATGCCACTCATGCAGGAGAAAGGCCTGTGGGAACCTGTGCCTCTTCCTCCACAGGCCCTGCCTGAGTGCTAGAGTAGAATCCTCAACCCTAGTCCCATTCATACAGGAGCGCTCAGGAACCAAGGGCCCTGATCATGGTTTAGTCCCCAGCCTGTGACCAGCACGGGGGTAGTGCTTCAGCCTAGAAGTACCAGGACACTCATTGCACTGGGTCTGCGCTTCTTGTTAGAACCTGGAACTGGTCAGGGGATAAGGCTGACTTTAAACCCAGAGTCAAATCTGGAAAATAAACCCACCAGCCTCAGCCTCCCCACCTGCCACCGAAGGCCCCTCACGCACACTGGATGGCAGTAGCCTCCATGGAAATCGAAGCCAGTGATGGCTTGCACACAGTCGATGCCCAGCTTGCGGGCCACACGGTGGAGGTTGGGCAGGTGCATCTGGACACAACCGATAGGCATCATGCTGGGCAGGAAGAGATACACGTTCCCAAACTCATTCCGAGGTACCTGCAGAGATGGGCATGGCAGGGAGTTAGCTGGATAGAAAACAGGGTAGCTGACTCTGACCCCCCAGAGTTGTCCTTACCTTGCCATCTACAGCCACAGGGGGCTGATACTCCTCTGTCTGCCAGTGGCCATAGAGGGCCAAGTCATTGTAGTCGTGCAGCTGGGGCTCCGAGAGCCGGGCTTTCCGGGCACGGTTGGAGAAGCCTTTCACCATCTACTCCAGAGGAAACGGCCAGGCTGTAAGAAAGGCTTCCTGCTCCGGGTACTCAGCCCACACCAGGCACTGGGTGCTGTAAACCTGACAGCAGCGGGCCTTCACTAGCCAGCGCCTGCAGGGCACTACATGTTCTCAGTGCTGACTCTTTCCTTTAGGGAGGGGAGGCTGAAACAGAACTTCATTCTGCAGCCCAGGCTGGTCTCCAACTCCTGATCCTCCTGCCTCAGACTGAATCTGGGATTACAGGTGTGTCATCATGCCCGAGCCCTGTGCTTCAGATTACTAATCTCA